AATGGTTAATATATATTTAAATGTATATTTTAGCAGTGACATTCTCAGAGAGCCCCAGAGCTGTCAAGCTCCTTTCTGCCAGGGTAAGGGTTCAGCCTGTCCTATCACCTCTGGGGTGCCTGTTAGCAGCCTCTCCCACTGTGCTTACTAATACAGTCCCTTCCCTATACCTATCACAACTGGACCAATGGCCTCGTGTTTTTCTCTGGGGCCAAAATTTAGGGGCCTCCCCCCACCCACACCATGCCTCTCCTCTTTCCCCTGGCCTGTTCTGTCCCTGAGCCTTGTGTCCTCTATCCATTCCATGGCTGGGAGTCAGTGGATGCCTCTGCCTTCTGGTACCGGACTGGCCTTGCTTCTACAAGTGTGCTTCTCCCACAGCTGTGGCTGCAGGGACCTAACTTACAGGGAGGGGCCTGCAACAGCTGCCATCACAGCCACAGCTGCACTGCACTCACCACATATCTGGGGCAGCCTTTTCTGGCAGAGGCCCTCGTGGCTTCTCATTTTCCATTCCTCTTCCTGTAGCTAAGGGGTGGCGGTAAGGGGACAGACAAGGGAAGGCTGCCTACTGTGGTCTGGGGCTTCAAGGTATGAGTTTATTGATTTAAATAAATCTCAGTCTTAATAAAAATAAAAAATCACTTTGGTTTCATGCAATTGTCCGTACTTAAAGGAGTGGTTGGGAGCATAAGTTCTGATCTGAGAGTGAAGCTAATATCATGCGCCTCCACGTTCATGTGCTCTCATGTTTGCTTTTCTCACGTTTGAGAACAATTTCAAATGGGAACGTGGTGATGTGCCAAGCAGATCTGAACTGAAAAATTAAAGAAAAAAAAAACCATTTGGGGTGACTTTGAAACCACTTTGTGTCCTTTTTTCTTTTCCTCTCTTTCTTTCTCTTATCATAATTCTTATATTTCCCTACTCACTTCCTTCACTTTCTAAAACACAATTATTAAATACATATTTGTAGTTTTCTCCATGTCTCTGATTCCAGATGTACTGTGACTTTGTCCTCATAAATAAGCCCAAAATTTTCAAGGCAGATATCCACAAAAACATCAAATTAAACCTTCTACCTGTCCCATGAAAAGCCGGAAAGACTGCCGGGCACGGTGGCTCATGGCTGTGGTCCCAGCTGCTTTTGGATGTGGATGCAGGAGAATCACTTGAGCCCAGATGTTCAAAACTAGTCTGGGCAAAATAATGAGACCTCATCTTCTTAAAAAATCATAATAATTAAAAGGAAAAGCCCCAGGGAGATTTACTGCTCAGAGAAGGCTGACTACATCTGGTCCAGCTGAGGTATGGTGTGACCTAGGGAGAAAGCTTCTGTTTATTGGATGTTTAACAAAAAGTTGTGTATTTTTTAAGACTAGTCAAGTACAGTAGTGAGAAGGGAAGAGAAAGTAGAACAAGGAGTTGCATCCGTAACTCTAACTGAGTGGGAACAACCAATTGAGATAGCTTGCTACCTTTGGACCAGCCAATAAAAGGTAATTTTTTGGAAGGAATCTTTGACCTAGGATATTAGCTTATGGCAAATTTTTACTGAGTTAATTTTTTTTTTTTTTTTAAGACAGAGTCTTGCTCTGTCACCCAGGCTGGAGTGCAGTGGCTCAATCTTGGCTCACTGTAACCTCCACTTCCCAGGTTCAAGCAATTTTTCTGCCTCAGCCTCCCAAGTAGCTGGGATTACAGGCATGCACTATCATGCTCTGCTAAATTTTTTTGTATTTTTAGTAAAGATGGGGATTCACCATGTTAGCCAGGCTGGTTTTGAACTCCTGACCTCAAGTGATCTGTTTGCCTCAGCTTTCCAAAGTGCTAGGATTACAGGCATGTACCACCACACTCAGCCTGAGTTAATTTTTAAATTGGAATGGATATAAGATGATGAATGAATTCATTTTACCCATCACAAAATCAACCCATTGCCAGATAGTTACACAACAGCTATTACAGACCAAGTGTGTTGCTAGGAGCTACAAGAAAATAAAGAGATGAGCCAAAGTAAATGCCTACTGTGGGGAAACATATACTTTATATATAGAGAAGACTAAGAGATATGATCAGTTTACCAACAATGTCTTGTGGATGATACACTGTGGTTGGTCTAGGAGTCAAGAGTAAGGCAAGCTCACTGTCTTACTCACGCGCCTCTGTGACCACCTCCAGCCCTCACTCTCAGCGCTCCCTAACTCTGGAGCCCACTTCCTCCCCTTCTCTGCCCACTGAAGTATATTTATCCTTCAAAACCTGGAGCAAATAGTACTCTTCTGTGTTGTTTTCCTACCAACCCATTATCAGAAATGGCACCTCTTTCTTTGTGCTCTTATTGCAATTTGTACATAAGACGTACTTCTGTCTTAGCATCTTAAACAGAATCTTGTAATTATTTATTTTCACGTCTGACTTCCCTATCTGACTGGTTGTTGCTCTAGAGAAAGCATCATGCCTTGTTCTTCCTTTGCACTCCCAATACCCAGCCTTGGGCTTAGCAATATAGAAGCCACTGAGTGTCTGACACCTGAACTAATCAGAGAATGAATCACAGATCTGAGCTGATAGAATTTTATAGAGCATTTGATTACACCCTCTCTACAATCTGTTAATCTGTTTATAATATCTCCAAATATTTGTCATCTAGATGCTGCTTGAATAAAGTCAATTTTAGAGCTTGAAATGCTGAAAGGTGCTATAAGCAAAAAATTGCCTTTCCAGTTGTACCGCTGGCCATAATTCTAATCTTTCCACATTGATCCTTCAAATGTTTAAAGGCAAATGTTTACATTACTGGCAGAGGCACTTAGATTAAGAGATCCTCTTTTGCAGAGTGAACCCAAGACAGTTCAGTCCCCTGCTTACGGTCTCCACAGTTAGCTCACAGCAGAGCCACGCCTCTGGCTGCACGTCCCTCTTCCCCAGGCACTTGGAGTAGATGGTTCCTTCTTACTAAACCAGCCAGTTGCTTTCAGTCAACAGTGTGTACCTGAAACTACATCCTAGGCAAGGAAATACATAACGCTGGTCCTTCCTACACCAGAGCCCATTCCTTCTGTCTGGGACACCCTTCTGGACATCTTGGCAGGATAAACACTGCTGGCCTTTCTCCAGGGAAATAACACCCCCCTCTACTGACCTCTTCTCTAGTTTCAGGGGAGATAGGAAAATTGCCTCATCCTCTTTCTCAACCCAGCTCAAGGAAATGGCTCCTCACTCTCCTCTAATGCAAAGAGAACCTGTTTTGTTTCCCACTGTCCTGCTGCTGGCACTAATATCATGCTAGGTCAAACCTGCTGTCTTTATAGAGCCAGCATGCTTCCATGCACAACTCCCAATGTCATATGTATATATGCAATACGCTCTCCTTTTTCTGGAATTGTTTTTCTCATAAAAGTGGATATTCTTTATTGAATGCCTACTATGTTCTACAAAAATGAGTCGCATTCTATCCCATCTTGCAAATGAGTAAACTGAGGCTCAAAGTGGGTAAGTCATTTTCCTATGTCACCAAATTGACTCATGATAGAGCAGGATTCTGAAACATGTGTCCACCCCCAGTACCCACACTTCAACTGCCTCTCTAAACATGGGGTCACCTTACTCCTGTTGGGCCCAGAAAGCGGAAAATTATACAAGGTTTTTGGTTTTATAGTGTTCATCAGGGCCTAAAACATGACTTCCCCTAGAAGGAATCTACTAGAGTTCCCCAGTAAATTATGTCCAGTTGCTATGGGAAGCAACCAGCTCTACAACACTTTCACATGTTGCTTGAAAAAAGGGGACCTTTTTATTTTAAAAATATCGAGTATTTTCATCTCTATAGTTGAGCTGCTTCTCTCAGATTCCTAATCCAAAAAAAACAAAAGATGTATATCCAGCTTTGAGAAGAGATTTCACTTGTCAAATTAAAAAATAGCAAATTTTTAGAAAAATTATGCCTGGGGGCACTTACCCTGCACTTAAGAAACTTAGGGAGATAAAATTGTCATAAAAATATATTGAGGGAAAAGCTAACATCATATAATTCAGTGTTAAATGTGTGTACTACTGACCAGAAATGCTATAGGAATTAAAAGAACAGAGGCTTATTGATGTGAAAGGCAGATGAAACTAATTCTGGGAAACACTTTTAAAATTTCAATAACTTACAGCTACTGAGCACTTACTATGTGCCAGGAACTATTCTGAGACACTTTACATTATTAAGTTACTTGATTCTCACAAAGCACTTCAAGGAAGCTACTACTACTGTTTTCTTTATATTTGTGATGCACAGAAGGGTTAATCTGTCCAAGATTATACCATAGTAACTGAGAGAGCCGGGCTTTATCTCAGGCAGCCTGAATCCAGAGCCTGGTTGCTTAATCAATGCACTCTATTACCTCTCAGTGCTCTTACACATATGTGTTATTAACCATAGCTTGGTGCCAGAAGATTCTCTGGCCTGTGCCAATGGTGGCTGTACCATGTGCCCTGGAGGTGAATCAGTATCCAACTGAGAGGGGAAGGAGGGCTTCGCATGCCTACCTTTCTACCACAAACCCTTCCTGGTAGCCACCCTCTCTCTCTCCCACTGGTGACCATCACTAGTGACCTGTGAAAGAGATACACCAACAGCACAGCTGGGGCCCTGGCACTGTGCCAGGGGCAGGATCACAAAGGGCAGTGCTACAGCAGGACCTGTGGTGCCATAAGTCATGGCTCCTTGTCCCAAATCCACGCCACCAGCTGCTGCATAGTATTGTGTCAGGTCACCACACCAATCTGAGCTTCAGTTTTGCATGTGATCAAGAGAATGTGTCTGACAAGGTGACCTTTTCCTAATCTGCTGACCTATGCAGTTCTAGGGCTGCAGAATGGAGACTAGTGGCAGCAGCTCATCCAAAGTACAAGACTCTGTAAAGTCAAAGGTCCAATTCCAGCAGCTCTGCCAGAAGCTACAGCCTTGACCACAACTGTACTAACATTTGGCACCCGTGCTGCATAAGGCGGGAAGCATACCAAGCACAAGGCTAACCAGTGACCTGAACATTTCCCTTCTCACATTCACACACCAGAGACCAGCTACAGAAGATTCAAATGGAGCAAATTGCTTATTCTTCCAAATTCTTTTTCCTGGTTGATTAGGGCAGCCAAGAACGGGGTGGAGCTCTTGTGAATAAAAAGCCTTGCTTCATTTTCCCCACACAGGAGAACATGGGCAAGCGAGTTGCCATTGTTGGAGCTGGGGTCAGCGGTCTGGCCTCCATTAAGTGCTGTCTGGAAGAAGGACTGGAGCCCACCTGCTTTGAGAGGAGCGACGACCTTGGGGGGTTATGGAGATTCACCGTAAGTGGGGTTTCACCAACTTTATCTGTCTATTGGAGAATGGGTTGACAGCTGGGAAATTATATCTGTACTTCTTTCACAAGGGCTGGTGGCCCTGAGGAAGGTTAGACATGTCTGCTGAACAGGGGACCACAAGGAGCCCTTGAAATTGTAAAAGAAACAGGGCACAGGTGAGCTTGTGTGGAAGTCAGAACAGACTTGTACTCTATCTAGAGCCAAGGGGAAGAAGTGTTTCCAAAGATGCCCACAAAGTATGGAAGAGAATAGAGTGACTGGGCCGGGCCAGGCCAGGGAAGCCCAGAGGCAGAGGAGCAGGACCAGGGGCTCTGAAGCAAAGCCAGAGACAGCAGGGTTAGGGGCAAGAGAAAGAATTTCAGCCTCTGCCTGCAAGACTGAACTACTTTCCCTGCTTCTTTTCCCAGCCTGGCTCCATCTGCATTAAAGACTCAGGGCTCCGTGTAGGATGAGCTCCATAATCAGGCGGCAGGGGTCCTGCTGCCCTGGCAATCCCAGTGCCGGCCAAGAACAAAAGTAAAGAATGTGAGTTTTTGGCTGGGCGCGGTGGCTCACGCCTATAATCCCAGCACTTTGGGAGGCCGAGACGAGTGGATCACGAGGTCAAGAGATTGAGACCATCCTGGTCAACATGGTGAAACCCCGTCTCTACTAAAAATACAAAAATTAGCTGGGCATGGTGGCACACGCCTGTAGTCCCAGCTACTCAGGAGGCTGAGGCAGGAGAATTGCTTGAACCCAGGAGAACAGAGGTTGTGGTGGGCCAAGATCGCACCATTGTACTCCAGCCTGGGTAACAAGAGCGAAACTCCGTCTCAAAAAAAAAAAAAAGAATGTGAGTTTTTGAGTCTTTTTTTATTCCCTGAGCAGAAGAAAAGTAATATACCCAAATCTCAGCAGGGTTACTGCCTGGATCAGAGAAAGGAATGAAGGGGCGAGGACTGGGGCCCCATGGGATCACAAGGGCCCTATTTAAAGCCATCGAAACCCTGAAGCCAGGCAGGGAAAATGTTCTGTGAATTCCATGGCTCAGTCAGGGAAGCATTTGCATCAGATCTTTCCAGAGTTTCTATTTTCCCTCTTTTTGAGCAAAAACATTTCCCATGAGCTTTAAATTTGCTAAGGAGAAAGCTGTCAGAAAGAGAGAAAAGAAGCAAGGTATCAGATAGCCCGGCCTCAGATCCCGAGGGGCTAAGAGAAAGACACAGCATTTCTCTATTACAGAAGGGTAGAATTTGGAACTGAAATAAAGTAATTATTTTCTGGCTGAGTGTGTAAAGCTCCAGAGAGGCCAAGGTTACTAGTTTAATCACAGTCCTCCAGCATAGGCAGCTTGGCTCACATAAAGAACTGCATTATCAGTGCATGGAGACCTCCAAAGAGGGCCAGGTAGAAGAGCATGTCTCTTCTAAGGAATCAGACCACATATGTTTCAACAGGATGGCAGAAACCTTACACCTAAGCCAAAAATCTCCCCCTTCCCATGTCCATCGAAGACATTACTAATCAAACATGATGGCTTTCCCCTAGAGAGCCTCAGAATCTTCTTAACAACAGTATTCCAAACAAGCATACCTAATCAGTCAGGGTCAAGAGTTGGCTTGAAAGATGAAAGTGCTCAACTAAATTAGCAGAGTTATTTGACTAAAGTAATCTCTTTCAAATCAAAAAGTAAGCCTAAAGATCAAAAGCCTCTTAAATACTCCTTATACAAGTCATAGGCACCTAATCATTAACACTAAAAATCAGTGATCTAAGAATCAGAAGAAATGGGTCTAGATCCAGCTGGGCCCATTTCCAGCTGTATTGCTCAGGTGGGTCAAACACCAATACACAAAGCACAAAACACAGTGGGGGACACAAAAATGAGAAGAATTCACCCTGCCCTCAGGGCCGTCAGGCAGATGGAGGAAGGCTGGATTCTGCAAGTCAGAAACAGTGCTGTGGGTATTTAACAGGGAGCAGCATAATGGCCACATTTAGGAAGCCAGAGAAAGCTTCACTGAAGAGGTAGTGTCTGATGGACTTTGAAAAATTTTGACAGGTAGAAGAGATTGAGCAGAAGACACCAGGGAGGGTAGGAACAGTAAAGAAAAAGTACTGGGCATATTCAGAAATAAAAATAGCCTCTTGGTGCAGATGGTACACATAAGAGGAGGACTGGGAGGGAAAAGAGTGGCTGCATGTTTGGGCAAGGGGTTCATATCCAACTTTAAAAGCAATAGGTAATGAAGAGCAAAATTAAAGAGATTTCCTGGTCGTTGTGTTTGTTTTGTTTGCATGATGGGAAGACCCAAAGATGTTTGTAGGCAAAGGGAAACTATCCAGATGAGAGGAAATAACTGAGCACATAAATCTAAATTGAGACACGATCCTAGCAGGAAAAGGGAGGGGTGGAGTTGTAGGCACAAGTGGAAGGGTTAGCCCTGGCAAGGTGGGGACACTAGAATATCCCCTCCCCAGTGAATTTCTGACATTTAAACATGTCATTACAAAATGCTTTAAAATTTTTAATTTGTATATATATATATATATTTTGTATATTAAATTTATATTTATATATAGAGAGAGAAATTATATTTTGGGTATGTTAGGTTAAATAAAATATATTCTTAAAATTAATTTCACTTGTTCCTTTTTACTTTTTTAATATGGCCACTGGTAGATTAAAAAGTGTTTATGTGACTTCTATACATCCTATTGGGGGCAGTGCTGCTCTAAAGCTTTCTCACTCAAAATATGGTCCATGGGCCAGCAGCATCTACATAGAAGCTTGTTAGAAATGCACAATCTTAGGCTCACTCCCACTTACAGAGTCCATATCTACATGTTAATAAGACTACCCAAGCAATGCCTCACAAAATTCAAAGGTGCTGAGCTAGAGAGCTGTGCTTCCCAAACGGTGAAGAACAACCTGTTTTTTTTTCCAATTAATTATAGACTGCTGTCAAATATAATAAAAATGGATCATTAGAAAAATGAAAATGACACAAAGAAAAAATACAAAATGTAAATTTGAAATTTATAGAGTCAGAAATTATAAAATTAATTTCAATAAGTGTCATTAAACAACATAGATATAAGGAAAAGCAATTACAAAAAATGAACACGTTGTTCTTTGAAAGTGTGCACATATACAATTCACACAGTAAGTCACCATTACCCTTGTAACTTTTTGCCAAGCAAAGAAATATTTTGTGTGAAATTGCATTTCTCCATATTAAACACTGGTAGGCATACTTTAAATATATATTTTTTATGTTACTATTTAAGGTTCTTAATGTGACAATCTTGCTTTCTGCTTGTCAATTTACCTAATCTGGTTTGAATAAATGGCAATGCTCTTTGCAGGGGATAATGTGTATCTAAACTATTTCTAACCATTGCTTAATAGCAGTCAAAGTAGAGAAAGGAGACTCACGGAGGTATGCTGATTGAAATGAGGAAGAGATTTTAAAGCAGTCTCAGCAAGTTCAGGGTATATTTTTTTAACTGCTATCCAAAATGAAGCTGATAGTCCTACTTTTTCTTGATGTATCTTCAATCTTTTTTCCATGGCCAGTTCAAATAACTTATACTATAAGATTAAATATAAATTATCTTTCAATGAAAGAAAATGATTCCAGATTTTATGCACTTTTGGATAGGTTTTTAAAATAACCTTAAAACAGCACACATGATAATACAGTCCTACAGCATATGGCTAGTACACAACTCAAAACTCATCGCACAAGTTAGACAACTAGACTGATTTATATCCTGTTCAACAAAACAGTGTCCACATACTTACATACTGAGCAATGTCAAATTATTACTATAAAAGTTTCTAAATGCTTATTTTCGATTTCTGTATTTATCTTGTAACAGACTGATAACAAATAATTCCTATCAGTATTGCTCTGCAGACTATATTTGAATAACACTGTTTTAGATATTTCCCCTGAATAAAATATCAAGATTTAAATTGTCATCTTTCTCAGAAGTAGGCCAAAATAATAGAGAGCAGGCCCATACCATATCTACTTAAGAGTTAATTTTCTTCTGTTTAATAAGTTAGCCTTAGTTTAAGATTTATAGTTCATAGAAGTTTGTGCATTGTAATAGCTAAACAAAGAGTGCAACTTGTACTTTGTAAAACAATGCTGGGTTGGTGAGACAGTTTGTAAAGTGCTGATCATAGCCCTGAAACGTTTGGGTATCAAAGACTGGAACACCTGGCCCATTGCTCAACCTCCTGCTGCTTGAACCCCTCAGTAAGGGTCTTGTGGCCTGGAGGAGGGGACCCTGCTCACAGGCTCATAAAGGGTCTTGCAGGAGGCCTCTAGGCTGGTTGAGCTAAGAGTGGCATTCTCTGGTCTCCCACCTATTCCATGGGTGACTGGGCTCAGGAGATAGTCTCTCCTTTGAGGTATGTCATGTGGTTAGAATTTGCTGGCTCTTACCCATTCCCACATTCCTGCAGCTGCACCTCAATGATTATCTGTTGTTTAACTATAAAATACTAATTTAGTTTTTTAGAATAACCACATACCTCCTACTAAATGTAGATGATATAAACTGTTTCTTTGTGCGTACTCACTCCATGATCACCCCAACTCGAGTGATATGATCAAACTATGTGTGTGTAACAACAAATATGTGTGGAGCCTAAAGCTCTGGGTCTTCACAGTCCTCATCTTGTGAAGAATCCCTGAGTCCATGCTAATGATTTCTATTTCTGTGTCTGTTTTTATTTTTTTCCCTAATTCCCTTGTCACTGCCGGGGCTTAGAACACCCACGAGTTGTGCTGCAGCTGGTCCACAACACTCAGAAGCATTTTAGCTGAGTCTGTCTAATGGGTGGGCCACAGACAAGGAGGTTATAATCAACTCTTATCAGTCAATGAGATAGGTAACATTAATTAAACCACAGTTTAATAATGTTTATAATTTTGTTTTCTGTGATTGCTGTATGTTTCATGCCAACACATAAATCTATATGTAACATAGATTCATATCCTTTGCAGAAAAAGAGAAATCCCTCTCTATATGTGAGATTTGTGTTCATGTTTCTACTTGTTGACATAAACTAAATAATTTTTATTTCACAGGAAAAAGGAACTATACATATGCAAGATGGTAAATAATGTTAAAATACAAGAACCTTCCCACTGAAATCAGAATAATCCTCCTTACTACCTACCACCCAAAAGACAGAGGCAATGTATATTAAAGACATTACTAAAACTGCTTACTATTCAACTTTGCAGTAGTCTTATGAGATATTGATATTTGCTAGTTATTTGAGTAAAAACTGGGGTGAGAAATTGGCTAGTGTTATGCCATACACACAGTTGTCCAATCTGGAAACCTTTGACTGCCTCCTCTCTCAGTCCCTAAATCTAATTGGTTTTGCAATCCTATGTATTCAACCTTACTACCATCTCACAAATTTCACCTTACTGGGATCCAGCTGTCATTGCCTCTACTCATGCTCTCATTAGCAATCAAGTGGACTTGTGTTTTAGGCTCCTAGCTAACCTCCTTCCTTCCTTCTCAGCCCCCTCTAATTCATCTTTTGTAGAACCAGAATTCTCTTTCAAAAATTTAATATGAATCACTTCTATATTTAGAACATTCAGTAGATTGCCATAACCTTCCTGTAAAATCCAAATTCCTTAACTTCAGATACAAGATCCTTCATAATCTGCACCATCTTCTCCATAATCATTTCAAGAATACCCCATGAAACCAAATTGTCCATCATCCAAATAAATACTACTTCCTGATTCTCATGTATTTCCATATTCTCCCATGTTTGGCAATGATACTGCATGCATCTGGACAGGCAAGTTCTTTCCAGGCTTATTTGTAAGCATGCAATGAATGTTCATGTGTGTGCACTGCTGGTACAGGAACATGTTGAAGAAGGCAGAGCCAGTCTCTACAAGTCTGTGGTTTCCAACAGCTGCAAGGAGATGTCTTGTTATTCAGACTTTCCATTCCCAGAAGATTATCCAAACTATGTGCCAAATTCTCAATTTCTGGAATATCTCAAAATGTATGCAAACCACTTCAACCTTCTGAAACACATTCAATTCAAGGTAAGACACAAAACATCAGCTAGTAGTCAGAAAGTATTTTCCTACCTATTTTCTCTTATCTCTCTAGCCTAGCCCTGGTCTCTGTAGATGAGATACTAAACTGGCAATATTAATGACACCTGGCTGGATTTATTTTCTCCTTATGCTTACTCCCCACTTTAAGTAAATCTGGAGGTAGGGGTGGATGCTTTGTGTAAAGATTCACATGTATAAAATTTTGGTTTGCAAAACTTACATCCAAGTATCTTAGGGGACCTAAAAAATATCAAGCCACATTTTTTTTGTAGAGATGGGGTTTTGCCATGGTGCCCAGACTCCACACTTATTATTATGATTACAAATAAATTTATTTTGAAAGATTTTAAACTGAAAATTTACTTTTAGAAAAGATAGTTGTAATACAAATGTAGAAACACAATAAGCACTTCAAATAGTATAAACCAAATAGTGAACCCATTAAGAGGAACTTAAGAATGAAAGAAACAAGTTGTAAAATATCTACAATATGATCCTATTTTTATTTTTTTAAATGTACATACGCATATTTATTTTATATGCATAGTAAAGAGATAAATATACAAACTGTTAACAGTATTTATCTCTCAGGATTGGAGTTGGGAGATGAAGAAATAACTTCCATTTTATACTTTTGTACTTTTGTATTGTTGGAAAAACGTTTTATATATATGTATTACTTTCGTGATGGAAAACTAATATAAATAAAAAAAAAAAAAAAAAAAAAAAAAAAAAAATGGCAAAAAAAAAAAAAAAAAAAAAAGAAGCCTATATTCTTTAAAAACTTTAAAAAGGGAAAGAAAAATAGCAAAGCCTCTTGGTCAGTGAATAATTTATCCTTTTAAATTTGACTTGTCTGAGATTTGTTGTACATATATTTCTTGAACCAAAGCCCAATAATCACGGACATGTATGTACTCAATGAGAAGAAAAAGTAGATTCTTTGAAATATGAACCACTCTCAAAAAATTCAAGCCATAATGTTAGCACTTTTTAACTGCTTTCTAGTTCTGGAAAAACTTCAGCAACATATTCCATAAAACCTCATAAGCTAATATACCCTGGACAAATTCATGTTTTCAATTGTATCTTATCTATGTCTCTGTCAAAGAAATTGTTGTTAGAGAGACAGCTCTGTGAGAAATAAAGTTGCATAACAGAAAGAATAATGAAAAAGGTATCAGAAACTTTGGTTCTAATTCTGATTCTATCGCTTTCTATGAGAATTTGAGCAAATCACTTAAAATTTTTGCATGCCACCGCTTGTCTTAGATAGTTCTCTAAGCTTACAGTACTTCCATCTAGGGAATCATGATTAGTCTGGTGACCTGATTAGGTTCCTAGGGTTATACTTATTAATTATGTTTATTCTGTGTTCTACAACTTTTAAAATGTCAATGATATATCAACTGGCAAGCCCTTAATGGAATATTGACAACGGCTAATCATATCTGTGATTCCTTTTTCAGACCAAAGTCTGCAGTGTAGCAAAATGCTCAGATTTTACTGTCTCTGGCCAATGGGAGGTTGTCACTCTGCACAAAGAGAAGCAAGAGTCAGCCATCTTTGATGCTGTCATGGTCTGCACTGGTTTTCTTACTAACCCTTATTTGCCACTGGACTCATTTCCAGGTACAGCAATTTCTGCAACTAACTTTTAAGTTTTCTCATGGGAGCCATTCTGATGCTTGATTAGTCTGGGAATGAACTCCTGTGGCTGTTCCATTAAATAGTTAAAGTTGGGAGGTAAGAGGAGTTTGTTTGTTTTTCTTTTTCTTTTCTTTTTTTTTTTTTTTTTTTT